TCCGACCGCTCAAACCTGTCCACGCCCAAGAAGGTACAGCCGAGAGACACGGGAGATGCAGCTGCTTGGATTTGGGACGTCCCCATCCAGCTTTTTTCCACTGCCGATCCGATCCCGATAGGCCAATCGGAGCCTGTGTTAAAGTTTAAAGTTATTTATTCTACTTACTTAGTTGTCAGACTCATGTTGAACAGGGATTTACTCTGATAACAACTTAATGGTTAGGAAACAGACCTGTGGGTTAGAATATGCTAATGCTAATGCTAATGCTCGTGTGGGATCGGACTTAAAAAAAAAAAACTGGATCTGGAGTCTGGATCTGCATTTTCCGATCCATACAGTATATCGGATCGGGACCAGCCTAAGCTGTATCCATTGTTACTCATCACATCGGAGAAATTGACTTAAAAAAAGTCAATTTGGTGTTATTAGACATGACACCAATCATCTTCCAAAGTAAACCAATAAAAGAAAATGATTTCATCTACAAATAATTAAAATAAACCAAACCAGCTTGTGGTTGCAGAGTTTACAGGATGTCCCTGTTGCTTCTGTTCAATTCAGTTTTTTTTTATTTAACAGTAAATTAGCTTTATTTGTAAAAGGCCTCTTTCACACTTTGCTTTTACGGATCAAACAATCCTTTATTTCTTTCCAAGAAGTTCAGTTTTTTGCAAATATGGGCGGCCGATCCGATCCAGATATCGGATCGGGACCGGCCTAGTTTTGATGAGTAAAACGGACTCTGGGATGTGTCTGTGGGAGGTGACTGGTTGTTTTTTGCTGCTGGTTTTTTACCCTCTTTCATTGTTAGGGTTGTGTGTTTCTTTCAGGAGGACAAAAAGAGCAAGTCGGGCCGCTCCCTGAACGAGGACGGCCGGGAGGACTCCGGAGACCGGAGGAAAGGCATGTTCTTCTCCTGGTCTCGCAACAGGAGTTTTGGAAAAGGCCCAAAAAAACGAGAGCTGGCCGACTTCAATTTCAGTAAGACGTTGTTTTTTTTTGTTTTTTTGTTTGATATGTTTTCCTTTTACGAGCTTCTACTGCTGACTGCTTTAGTTCAGAACAGAAAAATATGATAAACTGAAGTCATTTGATAACACAACAGACATTTAACCCTTTAAAGCCTGATCCAAGAATAAAACAAAACAGAAAATTACTTTTTTTTTTGTTTGAATTCCTTATTTGGCCTTTTAACAAGATATGTAAAAAGAAAAAAACACAAATACATTTCTGATATTAATAATTTATTTCTATGCGATAAGTCAAGATTATTTTCTGTGTAGTCTTCTGCCCCCTGTTATCAGGTGTATCTGATTGTGAAAAAATAGGATTTTGAGCAAAGTTTTTACCATTAAATTATGCAAAATGTGTCAGCCGCAAAACATTTCAGAAACCGTATGAATCAAATATGAAACATTTGGCATTACAGGGTTAAGCTAATAATAAGCTAATCCATTTTATTCAGACATTAGTAAATGAACAGTCTGATTTACAGGACGTGTTTATGCTTTAAGTGCATCCCCATTTATGTTTTTTTTAAAAGAAAACCTACCTTTATTTATTTTTTCATAGATTTCTCTGGCAGTAACGGCCGTCGGGAGTCCCAGGGTTCCCTTTCTTCGGGAGCTAGTCTTGAACTCGGGACGTCAGGCTCTGGAAAGAACGAGGTCAGTCTGGGTGGAGACACGGTGATGTTATCAGTCACACACGAGTCCAAACGGCAGGCTCATGGGCACTAATGTCAGCAGCCTCCACATCACGCTTTATGTCACTTTTCTCCTCTAGAAACAAAACAAATACAGGCCTGATGTTACGCAGGCTTTGTGTTTTATATAATTCTGGATAGCTTAGGGATGTCCCGATCCAGCTTTTTTCACTTCCGATCCGATCCCGGCCTATCAGAGCATGTATTAAAGTTTAAAGATATTTATCTACTTACTTAGTTGTCAGATTCATGTTGAACAGGGATTTACTCTGATAACAACTTAATGGTTAGGACACAGACATGTGGGTTACAGATGCTAATGCTAATGCTCGTGTGGGATCGGACTTTAAAAATCAAAGTTGATCTGGAGTCTGGATCTGAGTTTTCTCCTGCCAGCAGATATCAGATCGAGACAAGCCTAAGCTTTATCCATTGTTACTCATCACATTGGAGAAATTGACTTTAAAAAAGAGCTTATGAGACATGACACCAATCATCTTCCAAATTAAAACAATTAAAGAAAATTATTTAATCTATGAATAATTAGAACTAAACCAAAGCATATCGGATCGGGACCAGCCAATCATGAAATGTCATACATTCTGGATTCATTAAAAATCAACTGAAATATCGCAAGCCTTTTATTGTTTTAATATCGCTGATTATGGCGTACCGTTTAAGAAACCCAAATATCCTATCTCAAAATATTAGAATATCGGATTTTCTTCAGCTGTACGCCATAATCAGCGATATTAAAACAATAAAAGGCTTGCGATATTTCAGTTGATTTGTAATGAATCCAGAATGTATGACATTTCATGATTTTTAATTGCATTACAGAAAATAAAGAACTTTATCACCATATTCTAATTTTCTGAGACAGTCCTGTATATCCCAGACCTTCTGGATCCAAATATTATAGCAAGGAGGCTCAGGTTG